TATTTACTAATGACTTTGATCCGACTTAATGAAACACACTTTATATATTACCAGATGTATAATTTTGTATGCATTTATATATGTATAATTTTTGTATATCGATTGCTATATATATCATTTTGCATTTTATATGTGCAATTTAGCATGTATTTTATTATGTATAATTTTGTATAAATTTTCATATGTATGATTTTGTATTTTTATAAAATTATGTATAATTTTGTTTGTATGCATATTTTTATAAGTATTTTTATATGGATTATTTTTATAGCTTCTCATTTTCTATGTATTTACACTTGTATTATTTTGTTTGTATTTCTATATGTACAATTTTATATGCATTTATATATATATAATTTTCTAAGGTGTGTTCCAATAACTTGGACCGATTTTAAATGTGAATTAAGTTTAAGCGTCTAATTAATTTTTTCTTTTTCTTTCAGATTTGGCGGACATTTGGGCGATATTATTTTTACACATCATTGTTATGACTTAAATAACATAATCCAATGGAGAAATAAATAAAATTTCACCAATAACACAGATTTAATTACTGCTGATTTTGATCCGTCTTAATGAAACACCCTTATATATAATCCGTCTTAATGAAACACCCTTTATTATTATAATAGTTGTACAAAATATGTTACTCATTCTTAATGATTAAAGTGTCCACCTTCATAATTTTTATATCAATCTCTTTCATAATTTAACTTTATCTAATCATTATATGCCCGTCACCTTGAACATGAAAAAAGAAGAGATGCGTTTACTTTCTGCATGAAGTCAAGCTGGGTCATAACGCTACTCAGACTGCTGCCAGCATTAACAGTGCATATAGTGGAGGAGCCACTTGTGATCAGACAGTACTTTTTTTTAAGTTCTACAGTGGGGATACGAACCTTGAATATCAAGAAGGCCGTGGACGTTCATCTGCAATTGACGATCAACATCTGAAAACACTAGTCGAAAAAAAAAACACTAACAGTGTCAGAGAATTGTCTCAGATATTGGACCATCACAAGAGAATTGGCAAGGTGAAGATACTCGATAAATGGGTTCCACATGAAGTCAGTGAAAATCAAAGAATTCGATGTTTTGAAGTGTTAGATTTGAATATTACATCTCAGAGATGGTCACCATTACGAACATGCTCGCTCATTTCAAACACACTTCGGCTTAGCATATCAACTGAAATTGCTGCGATCTTTACTACTGATGGTTTGTTTTTAGTTTTAGTGCCACGTCTGTGTGAGAAAGCACAACACAACTAACCATCAGCTGACCATCTCAGGGATGTAATATTCAGATCTTAGATAATATGTTGAACTGTTTTATATTAATTATGTAATAAATATATTCTATGTTATTTTATCGCATTTAAAATATGTCGGATCTATATGGGACGCCCTGTATATGCTTTTTATTGTGTCGTAATTTTATTCCCCCTACTTACCTCACTACTGTGGTCTTATGCTAGACGTTTTCATACTAAAATTCACTCAACACAAAGCCGTCCACCTAGAGGCTTAGCGTTAAAATGGTAATGGTGAATGGACATTATGATTTTTTAAACATTTCACCCCAAGCAAGGGGGGAGTGCCACTAGTATGCAAGAAATTATAGTGTAAGTGTAAGTAAGGGAAATGACTGGGTAGGGGGGATTTTCAAGAAAGGATAAAAAGAAGAAAGGAGGAAGACAAAAAGAAGAATGGGGATCAGGGCAACAGAGGATGTCGATTGAGATTACATTTAAATTTTTGAAAATTATAGTTATCAGGGAAGCAAATAAGGGAAAAGGGAGTTCCACTGTCGGGAAGTGCAAGGGCTGTTGGAGTAGAAGAGGCGATTACATTTAACTGTTTCGACCGTAAAAAGGTGGGACCGAGATGACAACGTAGTAACACGCTTAAATTAATGCAGCCAGGGCAACAGTGAAAACAGCTCGTCAGAGCAGATGGCATTAAAATATTTATAGAAAAGATAGAGAGAAGCCACGTCGTTGAAAAAAAGAACTGGAGTCGAGGTACCAAGTCAAGACCGATCATATTGCATATCCGTTTTGGGATTTTTTCGAGAACTTCGAGATGAACAGTGGGGACACTGGACCATATATGGCAATAGTATTCCATGCATGGTAGATTTGTAGCTGTGAAGAATGGATTCGGACGAGAAAAACCTTCTGGTAGGACACAGAGAACCAACTTTCCTTGCGGTAGATGCAGCTATTGATTCAATGTAGTTGTTCAACCTCAGGTCAGTGGAGAACGTAATACCAAGAAGGCGCAGTGGGGTGCTCTCGTGGAGTTGAGCATTAACCATTCTGATATGAGGCGGGGGCGTTTCTCTCTGCTGAGTAAATGACAGCAGTTTCGTTTTGGATGCATTAAAATTCACAAGCCATTTCCTGCCCCAGTCAACCACAGATTGGGGGTGGTTTCGAGACTAACACCCATGTTAACTTTGTCAGCAATGTCGGATTTAATATTGTTGAAACTTGGATAAGCATGGAATAATAATAATACAACACAAAATGTACGTAAACAAAATGTATTGAAACAAGGAAAAGGTACACAATATTTACAGTTAGTTTTGGTATATTCTTGGGAAGACTGTTCCTGCAGAATGGGTTGACTTAATCGCAGTCGGGCAGAGTCTCTCGATTCGATCTCTTAATACTACTCTCTCCCCCGTCTTCCGGTACCAACCCATATTTATATGGTCGGTACTCCACTTATGTAAATTAGGTGTATCGTACCACAACAAATATTGAGACAGGTGTAAATGCTTATAAACGTCTGCGTAGATGCCGACTTGAGACCTGATGACGTCAGGAAGATAATTGATGAAGATCAGAAACAGTGTAGACCAAGAATAGGGCCATGTGTTCGTATGCAAGTAACTCCTTCAGGACTACCTTCATTTCACGGTTAGAGAGAAATGATTGGATTAAATCAAACAATCGACAAGTAATACTGTATCCCTAAAGCTTATGTAGAAGGCCAGCATGCCAAACACTGTCAATCGCCTTCGATATATCTAGAGCAACAGCTCGAGATTCGCCGTTATTATCAAGAGTTTTGTATACATATTCAGTTATGGCCGTAAGCACATCAGCGGTAGATCGGGCAACGTGGGAACCATGTTGTTTGTCAGGTAGCAGCAGATCGTTGGGTAAATTTGCAGTTTAAGCCACGCACACCAATTTTAATTAAAATTTCCTGAAAATTTCCATTTCGGTGTAAGCGGAAGCTTAGTTAGTTAACGGCCATTTTACTAGCATTTATTTTATTTTGTTTTGTTTTTCTTATGTAAATGATCATGCTTTTTAAAACCCCAAATTGAATTTTTTTAAAATTGAACCATAAAATTGTATTTTTTTTATTATTAATTTCTTTCTAGCTTTTTTTTTATTTTGTAAATAATCATGCTCTTTTCAAATTTCGCGTAAAGTTTGCGCTTTACGGGCGCACTAATCAAGACAAGTGAAACTTCCGCGCATGACTGCTCGAGGCAAACATATGTAAACAACGCCAATAATGGCTGCCGTGTTGTAGCCGCGACGTGAATGAGTCCGAACTTTTATTTTCGATAACTACTAAACGGTAGATTTTCGCAAACCTTTGCTTTTATTTTCGAAATAGGCATGTAAATTTTCCACCGAAATGAAAATTTTCAGGAAATTTTAATTACAATTGGTGTGCGGGGCTTAAACTGAAAATTTACCGATCGTGGATGGTGAGATGCTTAACTACTTCGGCATTGATTAAAGCCTCGAAGACTGAAGATATAAATGAAAGCGAAGTTGGTAGGCGTGAAGATTAAAAGGATAACGACTGACCTTTGACTTGAAAAGGTTAAGAGAGTAGGTTTCAAGTAAGGACCTACGCAGAAGTTTGTTACAAAAGTGGCAGATTTGGGAAGAAAAGCGATCTAAGCGTGTGCGTCGATAGTGCAATGGATAGCGAATCGAAATGAGAAATCGAAGAGCCAGTCGGGTTTGTTACATTCACTTATACACAAATGCTCTTAGGAATAATAGGGACCCATCTCCTCCTGCCTATGGGCTAAATATTAGGTCTTGTATCTGGGAAAAGTCATTGTTAAAAAGTTAGAAAAGAATTACTCTCAAATCCAAAAAAAAATTCGCCTTTAATTAAAATTCAAAGGGTTGACGAGATATAAGAAAGAATTAATCGGCGAACCAAGTCCCTGGATTCATAATATATATACCCTTATTCGTTTTTAATTAATTTCGTTCATACTCATTTCGTCGATGTAGTGTAGAAAATCTTGAATTTTGTTCTCATTGTATCCTTATGCCATCAACTAAAGACAAGCCGAAATTATAGTCAATAATTATATGAAAACGAGTGGGTTCTACCGTTGTAAATGTTTCTCGATAATTGGATTTGTCATGAGATATATTGGCGCATGATCGTGCCAAATTTAGTGTTAAGACTGGTTATATGTTATTAATTATAAATTTGATTACAATCATAAGTAAACGTACAGAACTAGGTTCTTATCAATCACAGTCTTCCATACAATTATTCTATACACGCTATAAGCATTAAAATTAGTACACAAAAAATTGTATAATTCACGATTTTTTAAACGATCGTATACGTTATATAATTAAAAAAAATACCACATCCTTTCAGGTTAATACCTAAAATGACCTGGTTTCTTTTCGGGATCATGGCCCTCTATAGATACCCTTTTTAATATCAGTAAATTGCCTTGAAAGGGAAAAATACGGGAATGGTTACTTATTGCTTCCTTTACGGCTTTTGAATTCCGAATTAGGGCTTTAAATAATGATAATAGAGATAATTTTTTCTGATAATTAACCCATAGCTAGGGCGAAGAGGTGGATTCACATCTTTTCCAAGAGTATTTTCGAGTAAGTGAACATAATGAAACCGACTGGAATTGGAACTCGGCGCTCCGATTTCTAATTCCGAGCCGTTATACACTCCACCACCGAACATCCAATCTTACAGCGTTTGGTATTCCGAAATGGTCACTCATCCAGATACTGACCAGGCTCGACGTTGCTTAACTTCGGTGATCGTACGAGAACGGCATAAGATCAAAGATAAGAAAAATTATTAAACACCGTAAATTGGTAGATACAAAAATATAAAATATATTTTGGGGTTCTTTTTTGTTATATTTTTCATCACTTTTGGAGCTTCATTTTCTTTTTGCACCTTTGTCTTTGTTTTAATATATTTCTGTATATATTAATATATACTTTTAAATGTCTGTTTGTAAAGCCCTGAATTCAAAAACAGTAGAGAAGGTCATCAGAAATCATTCCACTATCTTGTCTTTCAGGGCTATTCACATATATTAAGTAAAGGAAGTAGTGAAGAGTCATGATTACAAAGAGAAAGCATATGTTATTTCAGGTCCTAACCGGGGTAGAAATACCCAGTTTTAAAAACCCTTGGTAATGTTAATATTAACTGTTTCCCCATAAGGAAACATTATACATTCATTGAACGAACAGCAATTATTGTTTTCAACCGAGTCATAAAGTCTTTCTCCTAAAACAATTTTTAGGAAAATAGGTTTTTTAAGTCCATTAGCTATTATTGGGGTTTCCTTTCTAACCTTTCATTTGAAATAGTGTGAAGTGTCAACATCTTGATTATATCAATATTTTATCTTCAAATAGCATCCGCTATCCATTTTTTAGTTTTGCTGCTGTTGGTAGTCTTCAAGCGATATGGTTACTCTTATTTGGTACAGTTCTTTGTTTGTGATACTGTATCGCCAGTTTACAATGTTCAAAGAAGGATGATCTTTGCCAAGAGCCTCAAACTTCCCTTACTCAAATCTTAATAAACGATATATATATATATATATATATATATATATATATATATATATATATATATATTCCTTCTGTATTTGGTACTCATCAGCAGTGCGAGAATTGAAATCCAGACAGTTATGTTATCAGCCAAACGTCATACCAACTGTTCCAACGGGCCTCGGTGACAAAGAGGTAGCGAATCAGACTCGATATAACGCCGCTCGATCACATATTCCGTGATGGAACTTATTCGAGTTTCTCTTTTACCCAGAGGATTTGCCTCCCCACGAAGCACGATGCGCACTGCTGATGAGTTCCAAATATCGGACGAAACGGCCTTCCAGTGCTTTCGGCATTCTGTTGAGGTTTCTTCTAGACTCGATGAATTACTTAATTATAATTATCTCAAATCCTCCTAATAATTTCTATCACTTGTATATCCTTGCTTGAACCGGCTTCTAATGCTCTGGATGGAGCGGCTTGGTGATAGTAGTCGTGGCTCGTGGGGGGGCACAGTCCTATGGGTGAAAGAGTGACTCTGATGATATGACGTTTGCCTGATAACGTAACTGTCTGGGTTTCAATTCTAGGTAATGGATGTACACTGCTGATGAATCCCAAATATAGGACGAAACGGCCGTCCAGTGCCTTTTGCATTCTATTGAGGTTTCTTCTAGACCCGATGAATTACTTTTATATATATATATATATATATATATATATATATATATATATATATATATATACATATACATATATATATATATATATATATATATATATATATATATATATATAAGCACTTTAACCATTCACCAAAACTAAAAAAGATTTTTAACAAAAATAATGTTAAGATCAGTTATAGTTGCGTTAATAACATCGATAAACCTATATACCAACGTAACAACATTATATTAAACGAATATATTTACAACAAAGGTAACGTTAATTTAAAAAGTAAAATGAAACTGCCGAAAAAATATGACCTGTCCCTTAAATGGTCAATGTATGACTCACAGTATTATATACCGAGCTAGCATACATTTCGGTAACAATGTTAAATTTTACTTTGGAAATTTTATTTCTACCATCATCGGCAATATAAAATACAAAATCAGCACTACTCTCTCTAAATATTTCTGGCAATTAAATAATGATAGTAATGCACCTCTTATCATCTGAGATATTAAAGCAAGAGGCAAATCTTATAACGGAAAAGGAAATAGATGTAACTTATGTATTGTTGAAAAATTAGGCTTGCGCAATCAACGTAGAGTATATATATATATATATATATATATATATATATATATATATATATGTTATACAGAAAATTACTTAACTGTAATTGTACATATCAATCCTTGGTGTTTTTCTTTTGCCCCCGACTTCGAAGTTTCGTAGAAACATCCACTTTTCAACAATACATATATTTTATATATTACAATACATACTATTTACTGAGTACAAGTGTTTGAGTTGAAACCCCTTTTTATTTTGTTTTCTTAAATATTGAAATTAATATAAACCAGTCTAGGTTGAGAAATCCTACTGAGGAAAAACATGCATACAGAAAAGAATCAAACCTGTAGCTTCTTTTTTTCCATAAGGGAATCACCCGTTTCGCGTGACGTTGCCAATATGGGCAGAGGAAAAAAAGTAATGCTCAATTACTTACTTGGTGAATAAACATCTCTCTTTGAGACTTCTCTGAATCTATATTTACTCGTTTCGTTTTCGTAAACGAAATATGAACAAAGTCATTTTTAAATGGATTTAAATGGGTATGTTTTTAATTCGACGTTGTTTCTTATTACTATAAACGTTATTTGTAAACACGTGTACCCACTAAAAATAACATTTATAGTAATAAGAGGAAAAGTAGTAAAAGGAAAAGTGAGTGCTAAATTAAAACTAAAACTAGAGGTTTCAGTGTGAGCGACAATAATAGGCTGTGGAGAGAGTGAGTGAGCGAGAGAAAGAAAAAAAATAAAGAAGAAAAAATTACGAGAAAAATATATGGAAGCAGACGACTGCTGCAGCTTCTGTTGCAGCTTCAACTATTTGATGTCCACTCGTTTCAGTGCGCATGCGCACTCCTTACACAATGATATTTTTTTTTCTGAATGAGTAAGTTAATGAATGAATACCGTCTGCAGTCAACGCCATATTACGTCAACAAATATTTTGTTTATCTATCTATCTATCTATCTATCTATCTATCTATCTATCTATCTATCTATCTCTCTCTATATATATATATATATGTGTGTGTGTGTGTGCGTGCGTGTGTGTGCGTGCGTGCTGAAATTTATCGGCCTAAACAAGAAGGGATTGAAAAAACATCGTATATATTTATCTCGCTCTCTCTCCTCCTCTCTCTCTCTTTCTATTTCTTTCTTTTCTTTCTTTTTTTTTCTCTCTCTCTCTCTCTCTCTCTATATATATATATATATATATATATATATATATATATATATATATATATATATATATATATATATATTTTCTCACTATCTACTGCATTTTAAATCTTGTAAAAGCTGTTTTGAAAGTCACATTACAGTATAGAATGTTTAGGATGTGGAATGGATAACGGCTTGGAATGAGGAATTGGAGAGAAAATTCCGATCCAAATTCTAACATTCACTTACGCGCAAATATATGTAGGAAAAGTATGAATCAGTCACAAGTATGGTTTAAATAGTTAGACTTCAACCCTGGAGAAATAAATTTTATCTCCAAAAGAAATTGTTAACGCAATATTCCCTCGCAAAAAAAGAATTATTCTTACAATCAAAAATTATGTCGCAGCTTTAAATAACCCACACAAGCCGTAATAAACGAAGAAATCAATCATTAGTGCAGCAGATCTGTTACATTTTTCAGATGTCATGTATCTTCAGCATGCACGCGATCATGGCTCTCCACATATTCCTTTCTTTTATTATTTGTGAATTCCCACGTATTCTTGGGAAAAAGAGTTTAGTTTTTTTTTTCCTTTGCCCTACACACGCTTTGGAATTCAGAGTTTTTCTTTTCTTAGACTGAACGCCATCCAAGGTTAGAGATTCCAGTTTACCCTATTATATCGCCAATAGGAGAAGACGGGGAAGAAAAGACGAATTCATTTTTTTTTTTTACCAAATATAACCTGTACGAAAGTGAACATAACAGACTAGCTAAGAATTTGATCTCTGCTTGCCGAATTCAATTCCCTTTTTGATATCCGCCATATTCCAAGATCACCAACGCCCTGAAGGGACACAGCACAAAGAAGAAGCAGAAGAAGAAGAAGAAGAAGAAGAAGAAGAAAAAGAAGAATGCATCTTGGATTTGTATATATATGCTTGCAATTAAAATAAATGTTATTTTGTGGTAAAGGATTTACGGCCATAACACATTGAAACACCGGTTTTCGTACGACCATAGACGTTAAGCAACATCGAGCCTGGTCAGTACCTAGATGAATGTCTGCTTGAGAATATCAAGTATGGATGTGCGAATGGTGTAATAGATAATGGCTTGGAATTGTTAATTCAAGAGCTTGTTGGGTTCATTATATTCTTTTTTTTTATTCCACGACCCCTGAGGGTCAACATGTGTACTGCAGCCGCAGTAGAAATGGAGTTTCTTGGGTAAGATAGCCTGACGGAGCCCAACCCTCTCTAGGCCGGTTTTAAATTCAGAGTTTTTATTATCCTACACTAGTTGCCCTCCAAGGCTACAGAACCCAGTTCTGTTCTGCTATTTACCCATAGCTGGGCAGAAAAGAGGATTCATACCTATCCCAAGAGTATTAGCTTTCCCAAGAGTATTAGCTCTCCGTTTCCTGTCCGCGCCTCATTATATTCACTTACGTACAAATAAACCTTTTCTCTCCCCAGCTATGGGTTAATTAGTATGGCTTGTATAAGTAAATTATTATTATCTCCAATAATTTCATACAATCTCAAAATATTACCTTACTTTAAAATAACTAGAAAAAGATTATGGTAATGTCCTAAAATATTTATAATAGGCGAGAAAAATTAATAATTCCTGTACTAAATTTTGAAACGTGTGAAATATTGATATGCAAAGTGGAAAGAGTTTTCATGTGACGCGTTTCGTCCTTTACGACTTTATTGGTACAAATATTTATATTGATGCGACTACACATGTGTATGGAGGAGATGGGACGCTGAGAATGTTATATTTAAATTTAAACGTTTTTTTAATAAATATTTTGGGTATATAGTTTAACTTATTCCATTTAATTTCTTTTTGTTTATGTTTTATCCATTTTGTTATCAAATATCCCACATTGTGATAACAGAAGATCTGTCAAGAAAGGCAATATGTTGTAAGAACTTGGACGTTAATTTCCTGTGGATGGTCCAGCGATTAAAGCACTTTCTATACATTTTCGTAAATTGGTTTCTCTTTAAATTCTCATGAACGTAAACTTTAGTCTAATGAAGTCCTAAAGGACAAAACGTGTCACGCGAAAACCTTTTCCACTTTGTCATAGTTTTCTATAAAATTCTTATTGCTATATAAACAATATATATCGTTTTCCCATATAAATATATGTAAATTTTAAGTTACAAAATAAAGATATCCTTATTTCATGCAGCAATCTCTAATTATATCTTCGTTTCAGTTTCTGTATTAAATACGAAATATCGCATCATTATTGTCGGGGTGAGGGCGAATAGAAAAACCCTGCACTATTTCGTCAAGTTTCGAACTGCCCTAGAAATAGGTTTATTCGCCAAGTTGGTATTGCTTTCAGAAGTGTAGGTGGTGCAGTCGTTAATAGCGCGAAAAAGGAAATAGATCGTCCGAGTTCGAATTGCGGCCGAGTTCGTATTTCAGCCGAGTTTGTTTTTTTTTTTTTGTTTTGTTTTTTATCATCACTTTCATCTAAATACTTTGGGAAAGGTATGAATACATTCTCATCAGCTCTGATTTAAAAAGCAATGCAGACTCAGTTTTCTAGCTTTGGTTGTCAACAAGTCTATAAGAAGTGAAAATTCTCATTTCAAAACCGTATATAGCCGTGGCAAAGCACATTCTATGTAGACAATGGAAAAATGATTCTGCAATTTACAATGAAATGCACTGTCCGACAATTATTTTAACATATTTTATTGTTATACGTTATCATAATAAAACATATTAGAATAATTGTCGGACTTTGTCCATTTGTGTATGACGCCATTTGTTTACGTTAAGATACGCTTCGAGCAGATATGGACGTCCGAGGGAAATCACGGGAAGTTTGTAGTTTAAACGCAGTAAAATCGACCTTGCTAACCAGATGCTTCCTTCGTAGCTAAACTGGTATAGAACGTCAGGCTATAGGACAGTTCCGTGTAGGATACAGTATCGATTCCTGTTGGAGGACGCACGTTTTTTATGAAATTTCTCGGACGTTCAAGCCGGTAAATGTTGTCAATACTGTTCATTATAAATAGAGTATTTACTTAAATACTTATTCATATATAAATAACGTATAACAATAAAATATATTAAAATTTACAATGACTATAATTCCGTGTCTGAAATTGCACATAACCTAAACCATTTATAACGTTTACATTCACTAATTGGATCTTTATATTATTGAATATACAGTTTCTAAAGAATTAATCGCTTTATATTTAGTCCTATATTTTTTATTACTGTATTTGACAGCATATAAGACGCATAGGTGCATAAGATGCACCCCAATTTTAGCAGGAAAGATAAAAAAATAATAGCAATTATTAAAATTAGTAAACTTATTAGTAAATGGTACAGCCTTGGCTATATTTATGAGGTTTTGGTTAAACAAGTCATGATTACAATTAAATGAAAAATAATAGAAAACATAACACGAGCCTATAAAAAATTTATTATATCTAAAGGTAAGAAAACAAAATAAAAATCAAGCAATTATTACAATTGAGCAAAACAGTAAAGTTACCATTAAAATTTTATTCATCTTCAAATCTATAAAATTCGTCGTCTTCGTTATCAAAACTGATACTCATTTTCAATAATACTATCATCGTAATTAAATAATGCGTCAACTTCCGTTCCATTAAGAGCATTGCTAATGTCACACTTTCACAACAATTTCTTGTCTAATATTATCCCAAGCTTGCTTCATCCATTCGCAGACTTGTGCAATGATGGGTCTTTTTATTCCTGTAAGTGTAAGGTCGGGATCAGGCATTGCCATTCACATATTCCATTGGTCTTTTATGTTTAAGTCTATGCTAATAGGAGTTGCCAGGTAACTAATTTCGGCCGACTATCGCGAATTTTAAACTTACATATGTCATATAAGAAGCAGGGGAAATTTAAAAGATATTTTTAGTTGAAAAAAGTGCGCCTAATATGCCGTCAAATACGGTACTTCAGACGTTTATTTTTAGTAAATACCTGCGTTTGAGTAAACGCCACGTTTTTTTAAAACATTATGTATTACGACAAGTCTGCGTACACGAGAAAAGTTAATGAAGAAAATGTGCTCTCCAACAAGGTTCGAACCTGCGTTCTTCGTATCTGTAATAATTATATTTTATTTCTCGCCATTGATGATTTTTCCTGTCTTTCTTTTTCGATATATCTTTTGCAATGGTTTTTATGCATCACAGCCGCTGCTATCCACATCGCTATAACCACAAACATCTCAAGTCACAACACATCCGTAATTATTGTCAACAACATTATCTTGTAACCCTAACTTGCACGCGGTCGCATTTCGAGTCAAATACTTCTTTTCTGTTTCTTCCCGTTTTCTATGCTCGCGTGTATCCAGGCTGGATTGCCATTTTTCCCTCGCTTTCTAAAATATATGCATATTCTGTTATAAGCGCACATTCTCTCCAATGGAAATGTATATATTTCACCCACGTCTTGATTAGTGACTGCCTACGAGGTTTAAAATCACGCCCACGTCTCTCGCCCACGCTTCGAAAATATCACATCGACGTTTCCTTGTAATGCGTTGTCTTTAGTTACGAATATGTTCTAAGAAAATACATGCAGATACGAAATCTAATTGGGAATAAATCAAACGAAATCCAAATTATTCAAACGAAGGTGTGTAGTGCATATTGAAAAACAATTATCGTCTATTTATAAAAAAAAACAAAAAAAAAACATCCGACATTTTTTTTTAGGGTTTTTTTTGGGGGGGGGCATTTCTCTTCTTCTAATTATTATTTTCAGTCAGATTTCTGCAAATAATAAGTGTGTGCAAATGTTACTAGCGTCCCAGCTTTTGAAAATTAAAGACAGAACATTCAGAGTACCAGAATTTAAAGAATAGACAATTTTGTACATTTTACGAGTAGTATAATGCAATTTTAAATTTAAAATTAAATTTTCTTTCCATCAACTGAAAGAACCTTTTTTTGCCTTCTATCACTAATGCTAACCTCCAGAAGCTTAACTCATTGCCCCTTCTAGTGATACGCTTTTCCGCTGATATCAAGTGGAACGATTATATTGAATCAATTGACATGTCTGCTGCTAGGAAAGTTGGTTCACTGTGTTGTACTACGCTGCGTGCCAAATTATTATCGAGATAACTTTTTTCTAATATTTCAAAAACCGTCCAATCAATTCACACAAAATTTTCACACAATGTTGGCAACACTAACCTGCGCAATCACTGAAATTTTCGTACTGATCTGCACAATGTAAACAAACTGGCGCATCATGAAGCGAAGATTATACGCCAATGTACGACAATTCAGGAGCAACGCTGAGTTGTGGAAAGCAATTCTTGACATATCTCGCGGCATTACAGCAGATGACATCCTACAATTAACAAATTCTATGGATCGTCGACTTCTTCAAGTAATTTCAAAACAGGGAAAGCTCATTCCCTATTAATTTGTTTAAAACTGTGCCTTTGTTTGTATCTGTTATTATTTAATTGATTATCTTATTTATTAGCTTCCTTTGATCATAAACATTCACGTGCAATATTAATAAACGTTTTGTTTGCTCAATTCTGGGGATTTGACTAAACCATTCTAATAATTTGGCACGCTCAAATCACCGTGCTGATAACAAATATGGCGCCAGTTTATTTACATTGTGCAAATCAGTACGAAAATTTCAGAGATTGCGAAGGTCAGTATTGCCAACATTGTGTGAAAATTTTGTGTGAATTGATTGGACGGTTTTTGAAATATTAGAAAAAAGTTATCTTGATAATAATTTGGCACGCAGTGTAGACAATTTATTTTCTCGTCAGAATCTGTTACACATTTATAAGCCTATCATTCCTCCATGTATTGAATAATGCTGTCACATCTGGTCTGGTGCTTTTGCTATGTATTAAGAGATTCTTGATAAAATACAAAGAAGAGTCTGCAATGTTATTGATCCAGACCTGGCATCTTGACTTCAGTCATTTTCCCACTCACGTAATGTAGCTTCACTGTACCTTTTCTACATATACTTTCATGGCAATTAGTATAAAAATAGTCAATAAAAAAAACTTGTTTTTAATTATCTTTTTTTACAAAAGTAAATCGAAAAATGCAAAACAAAATAAATCAGTTTTTGTTTTAAATAATTTCTAATAAATTATAATAAATTATAAATTATTAAGTTTTAAATTATTTCTAATAAAGTAAATCGTAATGTAATTTATTCTTTTAAATGTCAATTTCCTTTATAAAAAAAAATAAATTTCTTTACCATTTCCTTTATTAAAAATAATTAAAAACAAAAAATAACTGGTTCATATTTTACATCATCATCACTTGGCCTTGCAAAACGAATATCACGAGGGATCCTGTACACGTCGCTTGCAGGCACGTTTGTGACTGAGAAGTCCAATGTGGGACAGGTATCCTCGGCCGTAGTAGTTGCAACTAAAAGTCTGGCCTGGGCTCGAGGACATAGCATTGCAGTACTTCTTCCTCTGAGGAAATGATTGGTAGACGCGAACGTCTCCCTCAGGCCTGTGCAGTGGAGTTTTTAGATGAAGTGCAGTGTGTCCTTTAGACCCGGGAATCGATCCGTCATGGCCTAGCAAGCTGGGACGATGACAGTGAAGTCCCCGGATCGTAGGTTTTACATAATGCTTATTGCATAATGCCTATTCTAATGCCTTATCTAAAGAACAATATTCGCTAATTAACGTTTTAATCCTTAATAAATTACTTTTATTCGGTTATGAAAAAAAGTTATGTTTTCCTGGTGCTGAGTCGTCTCGGTCCTGAGTTGTCTCGGTCCTGAGTTGTCTCGGCGCTTAGTCGGCGCTGTTGAGTTGATGGTGCTGCATAGAAGACGTACCGGATGCTTCTGTAGGATTTCATTCCTTTTCGCTGTAATTCTGCTGTCAATGTCCAAGATTCTCAGGCGAAGAGAAACATTTAAGGCAATGTTGGAATAAATATTCGGATTTTTCAGTGCTCTATTATCATCGTAGATTTTCCTTCCTTCCTACTGTAACATTATTTTTCCACTCTATTAATATCTAATGTTTAGTATTATTTATACTCTGGGACGAACTGGGATCAAAATGTAGTATCTGTTCTCCTTATCTTGAATGGTAATACGAGCCGCTTTCTTATGCAGAAAGATTGGGTATTCATTTACCGAGTAGCCAGTGCTATTCACGTTACACTCTTTCTTCACTATTTGGTCATCGAGCTGGGATCAAAATGCAGTATCAGCCTTCGGGCGGACAAACTACATCTTATTTCTCAAAGGTGGTTCTGTCTTCGGAGTGAACACGGCAAATAAATGACGGATGCCTGGTCATGGGGATTCCAACTCTTCGGCAGCACCTCACTTGTTGTACCGAAGAGGGAGGTTCGGTGGAATAGTGATACCAGCATAATGTTAGTTGCGGGTCTGGACAATTTTTGGCCTTAGTACATGTGCACTCTCTTAATCTCCCCACTTTAAACCAGCTTTTTGCCATATCCCATCACCATGGGAGTAGGGCACGAGCAAATACCAACTTTAGTATTTGTTCTCCTGATCTCTAATCATAATGGTAACATGAGCCGTTCCCTTATAAGAAAACATTCGGTTTTCATTGATCGATCAGCTAGTGCTACTCTAGGAGTGTCTTTATTCACTCTCAGGCCATAGGGTTGGGAACAAAGTATAAAATCTGTTCTCATCACTAACTGTAATGGGAATATTAGCCGTTTTCTTATAAGGAAACATATGGCATTCATTGACAGAGCAGCCAGTACTACTGTTGGTTGAAATTCATAAAATATTTCTCTTAAAACACGTAACACAATCTTACGTTATGTTCATGCACTTCGTACAGGAGGTAAGCTAACGAAGAGCAGAACGATATGTAGCCCAGAAAATGTGGAAATGCCTTCCGAAATGCATCAATGAAAGCGTACACCACATGAGGGATGTTGTCTTACACACTTGATTTTGGCAAATGCTAATTCAATACGAACACATTGAAACTAAAATTAATGATGTGAATTTTTCAAAAACGGCCGCCCTTTCTGCCTCATCCTATATATATATATATATATATATATATATATATATATATACTACCCTAAATTAAAATAGATTTTCCTTAACCTTAACTCATAATATCAATATTGTCTGCGCTTATAAATTAAGTAAATTTCTTTGAACGTTTATTCCTAACATCGCTTGACAATGGAACGAGACTATGGATTTTAAGTTTAATTTCTATAATTAAATTTATAAATTTAGTTTGAGTTTTGAAAATTTTCTCTGTCGTAATGGAATCATATTTTAAAAAAGAAAATAATTCTAATACTTTCCTCTACTGTATGTATCGAGCACTGTTGTTTTAAAATAAAAAATACCTGCTAAGAACACCGGATTATTAATCTTACTGTTCTTTATATATATATATATATATATATGTGTGTGTGTGTGTGTGTGTGTGTGTGTGTGTGTGTGTGTGTGTGTAAGCAAATATATGGATATAGATCCGATAGTATGACGAAAAAATATACGGAAAAACAAACAAAAATCCCAATTATTAATCAACGTCGGATGTTTCGGTCTAATAAACCATCTTCAGGACATATTCATAAAACATAATTAACATAGACCATATTCAATTCAACTTGAAAAAGACGATGGACATATCATATTTAAACGGAACACTGATCTTATAAAAGATTTCAGTTATCTGTCTGGATTGGTCTTGCTTTTATGTCCATCGTCTTTTTCATGTTGAATTGAATATGGTCTATGTTAATTATGTTTTATGAATGTGTCCTGAAGATGGTCTATTAGACCGAAACGTCCGACGTTGACATTATATTAACATTAAAACAGCATAATTGCATATTAGGATTTTTGTTTGTTTTTTCAGTATATTTTTCTTCATATATATATATATATATATATATATATATATATATATATACGAGAGTACATCAATAATTCCGTAGCCTGACTCGTAGTTATTCTATGAATTTTTATCTGAAATAAATAGACTCTCTATAATATTTGCGTTTAATGGAGAAGTTGGAAGCATAGAAAAGGTAGATTACGTTGATAAATGGAAATTTTGGTCAAAATAAATGGTTTTCCATCATGAGAATTTACTGATATACCTACATATATATATATATATATATATATATATATATATATATATATATATATATATATATATCAACTTTCCTGTCGAATTCGACGTATGAGGGTTCAAGCAGATCAGTTCTAGGAACCGAAAGCCCGACACCAGCACATAAGATTTGATTTTAGTGTTGAAGATTTTGAAGAGCTGTAATCAGAGACCTAGTGCACTATGTGCCACAAGGTCCTCAAACGACCCTCCACAGGTTTTGAATTCACAGTTGTCCTTCTCCTAGACCAGTTGCCATCCAAGGCTATAGAACTCGGTCTGTCCTGCCATTTACCCATATATATATTTTTATATATATATATATATATATATATATATATATATATATATATATGTGTGTATTTAGGCAGCATATTTTCATTTATAC